CAACGCCATCTGTTGTTAAATAGATAAACTATAACTCATACAAGCAACCTTTTGATGCTGTGTACTTCAGCTATTCGCTAATAGATGGCGCTGTATTAAGATAATGCTTATAATAATATTATTCATTTAAATTGAAAGTAACTTATTTCTATCATAAAAATAATATTCTATTTCTAAAGATATGTATAAAAATAGCATTATATCCTTTTATTCTCCGAAATGCATTATACAATACCTACATACCTACTTACTTTTCATTCCAGTACCTACAAGTTACATTCTAGAATCTAAATCGGGAATCAAACCTAGGACCTCCCGTTCGATCAATTAAGTAAAAATTTCATAGATGTTTCTTTTTCAACTGTATGAAACAAGACCCAGATTATTAAATAAAATAAACAGAAAGAAGAATCTGTTCGCTGCTAGTTGATACCTATACAGGTAAACATTAAACACTAACTTTTATGATAAGTAATTGATATGACGTTCAAATTATAATTATAATTAAAACATTATACCTAATGTAATTTTTTGCATTAACTACCTATGCACCACTGTATACCTAAGTAATTTAATATTTAAATAGTCAATACATAATACCAAATTCTATTTGTAACAATCATCGCTATAATTCTACTTACCTACTTTCTATACAACCCAGTGAAAAAATCCCAAAAATAAAAATTAATTTTCTCATCATTTCATCTCATGATGCATACAAAACTGGTCTAATGCATAGTTGCAATACAAACAACTCCAAGGACGCGTCACAGTCTGATGACCATTGGTCGATTTTTCGTGACGTCACTTGTCATTCATGAGGCGGTATACCCCATTACTAGATATCACTACGAAGCTAATGACTGCTAACGTGTTCAGTGATAAACCGCTGGTACACTACCTACCGAAGTCAAACCCGACGTGTTTTATAAGTTAATGTTAGCTAACCAAAAGCCAGTCGTGTGTTTAGGCGCCTACCGTAACGTCGTACTGTGTCCAAATCTGTTATTTGTCAGTGAAACTTATTGTTAAGGATAACCTAATATTAAACAATGGGAAAAAGTGAGTAATATTTTACATAATTTCGGTTTGACTTAAGTAAGTATTCTTTCTGTGATAAAAATCGATAGGATTATTAAATTAGTAAATTTTATAAAATTGCAAACCATGTACCTAAAACTATCTTTCAGGTTTTCAATGGTTATAAAAGCAGTAGTTTAATGTAAACTTTAAAAAATATATCTACCCGACAAAATACTAAAACTCAACAAAATGCACTTTCATTCATAAACAATACAGTATCTGTCACGCACAATAAATAAATCGACCGGTGTCTTCATAATAATTCCTTTCAAGTATTTCGGGTGTTCGTTCAGTATCTAAATTTAATTCAGTTGCTAATTTTAATTCACAATTCATTTAAATATGGACAGAGGTATTAATCTTTATTATTGTATTGTTTTCTAAGTAGATAACCTAAATTTTCTACAACATTTCGTATCGTTTAGCTTGCCGAATAGCAAGGTCTTTGTATTTCTATAAAGTACAGATATTTCAAAACATACCTACGGTATATTTAGTGACGCAAACAGAAGGTGTAGTTGCAATGCAGTTCTCAAATCTCAGATCGCAATCACGGTTTAAGTTTACCTATCTACTTATAATACACTAGCTTTTACCCGCGGCTTCGCTCGCGTCACAAAAGGAAAAAAGTAGCCTATGTGACATATACCAATACACACAGCGCCATCTATACCAATACTTTTGTTTTCCCTCGGGAATATCAAATTTTTCCGGGATAAAAAGTACCCTATTATTTAATCCAGACTTCTAACTTCACCTCTGCAAAATTTCAAAGCAATCGGTTCAATAGTTACGTCGTGAAGGCGAAACAAACAAACAAACTCACTTTCCGATTTATAATATAAATAAGGATATAAGTAAGGATAAAATCCAGAAGCATTCTTGAAATGCAGTCACTAAAGGAACAGTGTTAACTTCTAATTGGCGTAAATGGATATAGGTAATATATATATATACTAAATAGTTAGATCATTGTCTATAAAAATAGGACGGTGTTGGTTGCAAGGTCGCGGGTCCAAGCCTCGGGTCGGTCAAACAATGTTTTTATTTCGAAGTTACAACACAGAATCCATAATTATTCCCGGCGTTTGGCAACACTCCCGTCCTTTATTACATTGGCTTTAATAGCACGACAACGAAAAACCGTCTGTAAATACACATCTGTTTAGTAACATAGCATCACTGATTTTATTTCTATATCTACATGTTATCTTGAAAAGCAGGAGTAGGAACGGGGTGGTTTTTAGTTAGTAAGAGTCTGACTCCTCTTGCCTCACCCAAGCGGGAGGAATCATTCGATGATTTTCCCCCCATAGAAAATACAAGTTATAGACAGAAATGTAACAAGGTTAATGTAGATATACTTAACACACTTTTTACCCGACTTCTTTAAAAGGAGGAGGTTTCTCTCACCAATAGTTCTTTCGTTTCTATGTTTCTCTCACTTTGTTTGTATCTTTTAATAGGTGAAGTGGTTGGAATAATCCATGCCATTAGGGACCCAAAATTTTCGAAAATGTTTATATCAATTATCGTTGCTCGACCCAGGACGACCACAAAACCCTAACCTTCATTTAATATCAACATCATAAATGTGTAATGAACATCTAAAAAAACACTGCACACGATCGTATATCATCATAATCACCTAATAATAACGTATATTTTAAGATGCACGCAACGATTGTAAATATACCTCAAGCTAATTTAATGAATGTACCTACTAATTGATTCGCAATTGGTACCTAATATTCTCTACAGATGAATAAACATCTAAAATATCAGTGAATTATAAAATGTAAAATCTATAATATCAGGATCTACTCGAGTGAAGCTAAGAACGGAAATAGGGATGATGAAAGAGTATGAAAATAAAAACCTAATTAGTCCGTCAATTAGGTAATGAAAGAATTAGACTCTTATTTTTTTATTTTGTTGTATAATAAATTAATAAAATGATTCTTAGATATAAACGAATCAAAGTTTAGGAGTGGGGGCTAAAACGTCATTTCTACGTATAAAATGTACATAGAAGTGACGTCACGCGACATTTCAAATCAATATATCGTCAAAAGTATTCGTTTCTGTAAGAAAATAAAAAATACGTGTCTAATGATTTAAAATAATCTACCAGACGGATTAAAATAAAAAGTCCCTATTCAGTCACCAACATACGCACCCACATAGTGAACAGTAGCGGGACTATACCGTTCCCAGTAGAAGTTCAGATGAAAACTTCTAAACGAAGGCTTCCGAAGAAGAACGAACTTCCAGCGACTTGCCACCCTGTAGTTACGCCACTGATAGTGAATATCAATACATTGGGTTTCTGTGTTATGTTTATTTAGATACCTGTGAAATTTTCATTGTTAAGAAATAGGTTACTAAGTAGGTATAATTAATTATAACAATTAAGTATTATCAATCTGTTTATAGCCCATGTTATTTAAACCGTGTCAATTGTTATTTTGTATATTATTTGTATTACCTAATCAAGTATTAAACATTTAATAGTGAGTAGGTACCAAATTAAACTCTAAAATAAGTACCTATAACGAATAAAAAGTAAGTCAGATCTGGTGCATAATAATATCAATAGATAATGTTTTTGTATACAATCTAGGTTATTTTTAGACCATTAGCGATTATTGCTTGCATGGAAGATTTTAACAAATAGGTATTTCCCAGGTCATTATTTTTTTATTAATCCGAGATTGCTGTTCTGAAGATTAATTACGTGGTAACATTTACGACTAAAGACCAAAAACCTATCTACCGAAAGATTTCGCGGAATGACTGCTAGATATAGAAACACCTAAAAGTACCTATGTGAAGTGTGAATCTTTTAGCCAAATCTACTAACTAGTCATTGAAAATGGCCGTAACATAACAGAAAGCATAAAACTTTTCTTCTTAATCCCCGATTATGAAAAACCCTTAACATTTGTTAATACAGAAGTAGTCTCTAAACATCGGAAATAAGGTCTATTATGGAGTGAGTGGAGAGCTGTCACCGGTAACCACTTCAGGACTGCGCATCATAAGCGTTTATCTCACAAAATCTTAAAACTATATGACTATGATTTATCAATTATATAAGCATTTATCTCACAAAATATGTATTAAAACTATGTCTATGATTTATCCATTATAAAAAATGTAGATAATAAACAAGTTGTTCCTGTCACTGCAAAGTGCATTAGCTACTCATTTCTTATGTAGTATGTCTTTTAACACATGTGCCTTGTATATGAAATTGATGTTCATTGTAGCATACACTCATAATGTGTATGAATCTGCATGCATACATAGATAATTGAGCATTGTACGTTGTACTACCATGAAGAGATCTGTTACGTGTATGGAAATTACAGAATCATCATACATCCTTTACATATTTTCAATTATCTAACATTGTGTAATGATACATAGTCTTCATATGAGTTCATCTTTAATAATTGGCCACCAAATCCCCAAAAAAGTATTAAACAAATAAACTAAATAAAGCATTATTTGGTTTAACAATTAACACTGACATTTGACATTAAGTGTGAAACAAAAAAAAGTGTAAAACTGTTGTATTTTACAAGTCGAATGCAATAAAATTAAGTACAATGACACACTGATACTAAATTAATTTGTAGAATATAATACGATGGTCAGTCTTTTCAAATTCCTAAAACGTACCAGTCACAAAAATTAGCATGCGGTGCCAGGAACAGGTGGGACTGCTGGACAAAAAGGGTAAAAGGAGGCGTGGGAGACGCCGCCGCCGTAGTGGTCAGAGATAGACGCTGTAGTGGTGATCTCGAAAGTGGAGGTGACAAGCAAATAACCGAATACTCAGAGTTATAAAAGTATTGCTATAATGATAATTATATTAAAACCATATTAAATCATGATTTCTTTTGTTCCAGTATCGCAGCACATGCTCACAGACCTGGACAAGATTCCAGGTGTGCAGCTCGGAGACTTTCTGCTGCAGTTCGAGCTGGATGAGCCTCGAGACTCAGTGCGGGAGATTGCCAGGAAGGAATTGAGGGAAACTCCTGAAATTGTCAAACCTGCTGTCGAGGAACTTAAGAGACTGCTCGAAGGTATGTAATAATTAATATCAAAATGATTTTTGACACGAGCTCCAATTAAACTAGGTAATAGCAGTGTTTCGCAAATGCTCATTTTTTTTCTTTAAACCACGACGTTGGTCAAAAAGAAGCACGTGGCCTACCTGATGGTAGGCGGTTACTGAATGCTGTGGCCTGTATACGCTTGCAACACTTTCTGTTCGTGTATCCTATGATTAGGATCTGTACCGAGTGTCTATACGGAAATAAGACTACACTGAAGAGAGTAAAATCGTTCGAACAACGAATTTCCATATTTAGGCACTTTCAGAAAGTTCAAAGAAAATTGTAATGATAGGCAAAACAAAGAAATTCTTCACATTACATTTTTGCAGGAAAAATCATCGAATGACTGCTCCCGCCTGGGTGTGGCGGGAGGGAGTGTCAGACTCTTAGTGACTAAAAACCACCCCGTTCCTTCTCCTGCACGTCGAGCCGGAGCCCCGGTAACCCGTTAGATTCTCCGAGGATTCCCTGCTCAATGATTACCCTTTATTAGTACAATATTACCTAGATTTGAGTTAGGGGTAGTCCATTAACTGATAACAAACTAATTACCTTCTGAATTAAAAACCGATTACCTCCAGAATATTCGGTAATTTAGATAAGAACCAGGAAGTTTTCTTGCGACCTGTTGTAAAAACTGCATATCGTGTATCTTGTACTAATTCATATTTAACTGCTGTATTTTCCTCCTAGGTGTAGTTATATCATTTCAACTAAATTTTACATGTCATTGGATGATATTTGCTAATACTGAAATGAAGGTTGTAATATCTTTCTTGATACATACACATCAGTTTTTCAAAAAAGGGGATTAAGTAACTTAACTCACCCTCTTTTCGAAAATAATGTGTAAATGTGCCATAATATAGAATCCCATGCATCGAACATCGAAACCAATTCTCCATCAATCTCTCGGGTATCTTGCAGGAAACCAGGAGAAATCTATTCTACCTCTATTCCATGTAGAGGGACCCGAAGATGTTAATACCTCTTCACATTGTCCTCTTTCTGGAACAAAACGCATAGGTACCTATTTATTTATTTTTGACTTAATTACGAAAGAATAAAGTTCAAAACTTTTGTTATCTGTTGTCCCTAGTACCTAGGTATATAGTCGTTACAGTGTAGTGTAAAGATACTGATATTGTGACACAAATGCTCAGGTGCTAATGACTTGTTCCAATATCCGGTAAATGAGAAATCACTAGAAACTAGAATATGACAGTTCTCATATTAGTACTACAAATAAGAATGTCTGTCTGCTGCTACACTTTTACAGCTAAACAGTTAAACCAATTTTCATAATATTTTTGTTTTTGTTACTTACTTACGTCCATACCTATTTTGTATCATTGTGTCGTTTTCAATTACGATTATTTTTATGTTTTATATAAATGAACTAATGAAGGGTTGATGAGGATATTTTAAAGATGACCTAACGAGATAATATATCCCTTAAAACGTGCTCTAACACTGCTCCATTTTGCAGTGCAATGCACTTGCGCTTACCTCTGTGTAACAGGTACATATTATGCATTTACTTCAATAAATATCAATCTTTATTTAAACCTAAATAAACGTTGAAATCCAATCATAACAAAAACATTAATTTTGCACCCGTTTAATATTATAAACGTTACCTGTGGTCTCAAGTTACTTAGAACATTAACTGTAATAATAAAAGGTCGATAAAGCCAAATGTATCCGTGGATTGGTGACAGCGCGCAATGAGTCAACCGTCCAATCCAACCATTTCGTGGGGCCATTGAACGATTGACGTTCTGTACTCACCAAAGCAAAGATTCCTAATCCAAGATATAATTGCATAGGACGGTCATTAATACATACTTACATTGTTCTCCGTTCAGGAATGGAAAACCCAATGGCAATAACAATATTTCACTAACTAGTGTGCTGTGTGTGGACGGACAGCTAAAAATATTTAATGAATGTTATTCGGCCATATTTTTTTCCGTGCGGTAATCGAAACCGTGACAAGTAGCGCAGCCATTGCACCGACCGTGAAGTCAGGCAAACAGGTAATAAATGTTGTTTGTGGATTTGTTGCCACCGATGCCCTTACCGATCACTGTGTATGCCAACCGAGCTGTGCTGTTTGTTATCCCAAAAGTAGTTGATCTCAGCAATACCCTGAGGTTCACTCACCTTAGGATACCTAACCTTGAGTTCAACTGAGTGTCATACAGGTACCTATATCGGTTCATCATTTTAAAAATTCAGAACGATCTTTTCCTTTTATAAAAAAAAAACTTAACGAAAATGTTATCGATCGATTTCGACTTATCTACACATTTTAATTTTCGATGGCAATAATTTTCCGTTCCGTTTGCAATTATGAACTCATCGTAGGTTTCCCATGTTATCTCCCTGTAAGAATGCCATTGATAGCACAACCTAGAAACTCAAATTACAGCCACGATGATTGAAATTTAAATAATAAAACAATGGCCTAATCGAATCGTGTATTGTATCTAATAAATCCTCTAAGTCAATGACGACACAAGCGGAACAAGTTTGTCATAAAATTATGACAGGAGAACAGTTTGAGCATACATGACAAAGTAAATATCGCATATCTACGTATATTAGTTGTGCAAATCAAATTTATTGACTAGCTGTTGGCTTACTCATATTGGATATAATATTTCAACCGGGACTTTTATTGCACAATACTAAAAAAACTGTTCTTCCGTGACCCCAAACACACACAAAACCAATACAGTAATTATAGTACCAGTCCTCTTTTCTCTAATAAAGAATTTAAAGGCATAACGTAACTTGAGATATTCTCTGTTTTCCACATCCAAAGTCAAAGTCAAAGCATTTATTTCAATCAAACCATAATTTGGTACTTTTGAAACGTCAATAAATACATAATAAATAATCGTTTGCCGGTCAGTCCGTCAGTGAAGCTAGGTGAGCAAGAAACTCCATTCGTTACTCTTTTTTAAAAAGTATGTTCTACAATGTCTCTGACACATATTCTAATACTGTACGTTTATGTGAGAACAATGCAAAGACACGCTTGACGCATTATAGGTACTAATTACAAATCTTACTAAAAAATAAAAAAATCTTATAGTCTAACTTAGTGCTCATATATGCATACTGACAATCGATAAAAATGTGCTTCTATAGTAGATGAGTTTAGCCCGGACATACATACAGACAAACAGATAAACAGACAAAACTTCTAAAAAACATATTTTTAGCTTCGGTATAGCTTGTCAATCAGGCCCGAAGCATTCTTTAAAAAAATATGCAATGTACAGGTGTGTATGTCGCGGAGAACCTAACGGCTAACCGGGGCTCCGGCTCGACGTGCAGGAGAAGGAACGGGGTGGTTTTTAGTCAGTAAGAGTCTGACACTCCCTCCCGCCTCACCCAGGCGGGAGGGAGTGTCAGACTCTGATGATCTGTAAAATATATATATGTGTGTGTATAGATACAGATAGATTGATCTTTCTACTGAGGGTAAGCAATTATACTCGATTTAATTCAGCTTATTGCACTGATAGACATAATTATTGAGATAACTTAGGTTAATAGTTAATAGTGCAATTTATCAAAGCTGCGTTTCTAATCTGTACCTGAAGGCTGCCTAATCTATGATTAAACTCATATCGGCAGTACTTCATGTTATTATTATCTATCTATATATAAGTGCTATGTAATATTATTGCATGTTCGATGATATATACTAAGTGCTAATGTTGTAATTTCAAAGCAACGCACTGCCTGCCAGTCGTTTATCTGAATAAAAATAGGTGACTCGATTGACTTTTGATCGCTTTATCGGTCGCAGGTGCAAGCATTAGGTTCTGAACCATGTAAAATATATTTAAAGTTTATAGTTATACAGCATACATCTAGTCCAAATATAGGCCTGCTTTTAAGTCGGCCATAAATCACATAGTATTCTGCAAAGGACAAATCTAATATCAATGATATACAAGTACATAATGATGCAGCGTATTGGTATATGAATAGACGCCTTTGTTCCTCAAAGTAAGCAAAACACATCTATGAAGCGCCACCTACCTCTATTGCGTGATTGATCATGATTGCGTACAAAAACTGCGGATAAAAACCAATCGCACACAACCTAAGTTATTAATCTTATTAGAAATAAAGATTTGAAGTTCTTGTTATGAATTTCAAAACGCTGTGTCATTATTATTGAATGGACCTTACTTAGGTATGGGTACCAACTTATTTACTTTACCTGATTATATGTCAATATACCTTTACCAAATAATTGATGACCAAATTCTGATAAACCTGTACCTACTTGGTACTGTAAACAACAAATAAATGTACATACATAAGTAGATTGCCCAGAATATTCCTCAAATTAAAAACACAGTAGGTAAACAAAGAACGCACTTGACATACATACATACGAATACTTACATATTTGATTGTTATATGACATTGATACACATATGGAATTTCCTGTAATCTAATTACATTTTAATTATTTTGTTGCTAAATTAAGTGCACAATGCAGTTTATTATTTTTTTATTTCAATTTGCAATTTACCAGCAACATTGTGTATCGAATTTTTGAACAGAGTCCCGTCTTCAATGGCCTGTCCTGACCTCGGGTTAAAATTAAATACTCATTGTGTAAAGAACAAAAAATAAAACGTTAAATGACTTATTTCCAATAATTTATTTCTCTTTTGAAACAATAATGATGTCACTGCTAAAAATTGATATTTATCTTTTGAAATAAAATATTTATGATGTGACACCTTTTTTAAAAATGTCAATCATGTCTGCCATTCATTATGTTTGACAAGAAACCTGCATTGTATAAACACTGACAGTGGATGAACCTCGCATGACCTTTCATGATACAATATTTACATAGCAAAATCCTATGACTGAAGAATTTAATGAACTTTAAATATCATCATGTATTTTATTTTTTAAGATTATCATTAAATATTTAAGCCTTTGACTGCCGACAGAAAACTCTTGAAGGCAAATCCTCCGCTAATGTAGGTCACCGGTGACCTACGCGGCGGTTAACGTGTTAAAGAGAACATTACGTTAGAAATGATATTAAGTGGTGTTTCTATTAGTTACTTGACTTGGATCATTAGCTTCGTTTAGATTTTATAGCGTCTTTTCTTAAGTTAATAAATTATTTTCTGCACCTAAGACCTGCTTACTACTCTACTTACTCAGATGATCTGGAAGTCCATGAAAATAAAATCTCAAGAACATATGTACATCGCCACATTAACTACAATACCAATGCATCGACAATAACTTTGTCAACATTTTTTTTTTTTGAAGTGTTGCCCCACACTACGATTTTGTGGGTGCGTTTACAAACATACAAGTTCACATACACATGACACCCAGACCCGGAACAACAATTTGGGGATCACACAAAGTGTTGTTCCGTGCGGGAATCGAACCCGCGAAACGTTGCACGGCAGCCGGTTGTCCAGCCATCGCACCAACCGTGCAGTCATTTGAAAGAATGAAGTAAAAGAAATTTTCTTACTTTCCTATTTTTCTGTTTCAGAGGACAAAGACATGTCAGTGCCGATGGATAGTGAGGCTTGGCTCATCAGGTTCCTGAGACCCTGCAAGTTCTACCCTGAGAGTGCCTACGACTTAGTAAGTACCCCATTTGGTTTTATCAAGCAATATTATTAAATAACCCAATATTGAAAGGATTGCGTGCTGTGACTTATCCGATATAAAGACTGATGCACATTTTCGTCTGTAGGTAGCGAAAGATTTGAAATAAATGCAGAAATATTTTTGTTCAATACCTCGTTTTAATTATACCTGTTGTTGGATTATGTCAGGAATCTCAAACAATTAACTGATTAAAAAGATTACAATTTTAACTAAGATGTGCACTATAGGTACAGAATACAGTGCCTGTAACCAATCGCCATCCACTTTAGCGCTTGTCTGCCAAGAGAGTAGAAAACTAAATGTATGGGGATGACACTGACAAGCAAAATTTACGTCAATTCCATATAATTTGGTTTTCTATTCTACAAGTAGACAAGCGCTAAATTTATGGCATTTGACTACAGCTGCAGGAATGACAACCTATGACAAATATTGAGGTTTTTTAAACTTTTTACATCGTTTTAAAAAAAATTAAAAAACGTCATTAGTTAGTCAATAGAGTATCTATGACAGTTGCGATCATCAATAGAGTTCTAATACCTATGTGATTCAATTAAATCCATGTAATCCATCTGTTTGGTTCCATGGTAATCCATTCAATGTTTTGAATGTTTTTTATCTGATCTAACGTCTTACCTCCATCTTTTCCAGATCAAGCGTTACTACGGGTTCAAGTTGAAGCACTCGAAGCACTACGACGGCCTGATCCCCAGCAAGGAGACCAACGTGTTCATCCAGAACGTTCTCACTGTCCTCCCCACACGCGACCAGTACGGCCGGCGAGTTCTAGTACTCGAGTTAGGAAGTGAGTACTCGTAGCAGTTATGTTCCATTTTATGATCGTATTTATCTAATGCGAAAAATTCCATCTGTATCACAGAGTTTTCATCAGTAAGTCAACATCCATAAAACTTTAACGTTTCTAATTGTTGCTTAGTGTTTTTTTAATGGCATAAGCCGGCAAACGGTCAGACGGATCACCTGATGGTAAGCAATCGGCGTCGCCCATGGACACCTGGGACACCAAAAGCGTTACAAGTGCGTTACTGCATTGCTTCACGTCGGTTTTCTGTGAGGGCGTGGTATTACTCCGGTCGAGCAGGATCATTCTTGCCGAAGCATGGCTCTCCCATAATTACAGAAACTTTATTGTATTTCTACAAAGAGCAAAGACTCACTAAGCGAACATGACTTGCTTATTTCAATTCCAAGAGTTACATTCGAATACTGAGAGGCTACTCAATTTTATACTTAAATATCGTGCTATCTCTGTCATTTTACAAAGAATTTCTTGTGACAGAACTATACTTAAGCGCGTTTTAAAATTGAATGGCGTTTGAGTAGAGAATAATTCTGTAATTTTCATAATTAAAAAGCTATAATAATAATTAGCATGCACCTAATTACATGATGTAAATTCCCCAATAAATATCTAATATGTATACGTGTAGATAATAAGATAAATCGCATTACAATACACATATGGGCAGTCAGTCACGCAAGCTTGCCCACGATAATAAGCGACAAATAATAACCAGGCACTTTATGTACAAAACAAACGCTCTTCATAATATCATTTACAAGTCCCTGATCATTATGTGTGTTCTTGTGCCCACGTCAATAATATTGTCAGAATCATCAATTTGCGTAATTTTTACGTAAACAGTTAAAAAAGAACCAGTACCTAACGTACAGAACGAAAATAGATTGGTTTTAAAACCTTATTTAAATCCATTCTGCAAACTTCAGGGCAACCTTAAAACCTTAGTTTATTTGAGTTTCTCCACATATTTCATCTCTACAGATAAATGAAATTGGAGTGTCTGTTTGTAATATTAAAATAATCGCTTTTTACTACATGCACTTGAATATCCATACGATACACATACTAAAATAACATTTTTTACAATTTTTATCTGTCTATCTATCTGTTTGTATTGGATAATCTCTGGAATGACTGGGATTTTCCAAGACTTTTATTAGCTGGTAACTGATGTACTAGGGAGTAACATAGGCTACTTTTGGATAATTAAAACAAAAAAGTTATGTTTTTATAATAACTATCGTGAGACATACTAAATTAACTAAAAATCGCGGGTTACTAACGTGAATATACTGAGAAATGCTCTACTAGGTACTGCTCATGAGAAAGAACCCCTCTGTGTTTGAAACTAGTAGAGCTTTTCTCAGTATAGTCACGTGAGTAACCCTCGATTTTTAGTTAAAAAAAGTTATGTTCTAAAATTTATATCCTACGCGGACGAAGGTGCGGGAAACGGCTAGTTTCATTATAGAATTATGTATTAAGATGGTTCGTTCGTCGGTTCTAATTCTAAATACTATATTCTCAGAATGCCAATGGCATTAAGCCTACCTTGTACATTAGTGTGTAGCCTTTCAAAATAAGAATAAAATATATTCTTTAGGTACTCCTCCATCTTGTTCTTACTACCTAAATAAAATACCCGCCACTGCTCCGCATACCAACCAGTTTAAAAATATATTGACTTTGTGATATTAATTTTTAAATATTGACTCGAATAGTCGTTCTGGCCTGTTATGAATCAATATTGTAAGAACCTTATTTATTTAAAAATTTTGACCATTGAATGTTCATTAGTAAAATCATCAAGATTTATACAATAATAACGACGTCTGTGGTCAGACTCAACTGAAAATAGAGGTACTATAGTTAACTAGTCCGTTTTGTTATTATCTACTGCAACCATGACCTACGAACAATTTCAACTGAGAATCGTTACGTAATGCATGTTCTCTATTGTATATTTTTCTAAGCCTCAAATTACTTCTAAGAAGGTGCTTATAGGTTTTATATTTTTGTCATAAAATTCGTTTAAAAAAGCGACTTCAAACTCGTCTTTTTTAAAGTCGGTTAATTAATATTTATTATACTAAAACCTTCTGCTAAGTGTAACAAAGGCTTTTCTGAAAACCGCATCAATATCGGTTGAGCCAATCGCGACATAATCGCTCACAAACATACATACATAGATGTCAAACTGAGAACCTCCTTCTATAAAGTCGGTTAAAAAATAGTCTGCTAATTTCACTTCTTGCAGAGAAATGGAAGCCGAGCAAATGTTCTCTGGACGAGGTGTTCAAGGGCTGCGTGCTGTTTCTGGAGGCCGCCATGTTGGAACCAGAAACACAGATCTGCGGAGCAGTCGTCATATTCGACATGGACGGTCTATCCATGCAGCACGTGTGGCAGTTCACCCCCAGCTTTGCCAACAGAATTGTCGACTGGCTACAGGTTAGTATAATACAAAGATAATCAGAAAACACAGTGTTCAAATTGAATGTTGGATTTAGCAGATCAAATTTCTTACCAGTAATTATCATTATTCGTAATTGAACGTTTTTTTATGGCATAAGCCGGTAAACAAGCAGACGGATCACTTGATGGTAAGCAATCGACGCCGCCCATGGACACCTGAAACACCAAGGCGTTACAAGTGCGTTACCGGCCATTTGGAATTTGGTAATTTGCGGATAGTGGGGGATTCGGGGATTGGAGAGACTGAGGATGGGGATTGCTTTGGCCTCCGGTATCCTCACTCACACGACGAAACACAACGCAAGTGTGGTTTACGTCGGTCTTCTGTGAGGCCGTGGTGCCACTCCGGTCGAGCCGGCCCATTCGTACCGAAGCATGGCTCTTCCACACTTAAACGTCAGAACTACAGAACTGAAGAAAACGAATTCTTATACATACAAACTTTTTACAGGAAGCTATTCCACTCCGCATCAAGGGGCTGTACGTCATAAACCAGCCATTTATCTTCGAGATGGTGTTCAAACTCTTCAAACCCTTCCTGAAGGAGAAGCTTCGCTCCCGTATCGTGTTCATGGGCAGCGATAGGAAGATGTTACATGAGTACATCAGCCCTAAATGCCTGCCTGACAAGTACGGCGGCACCCTCAGCATTCCAAGTGTCACTGGAGGACAATGGCTGGAACTACTCCTCATGTGTGATAAAGAATTTAGTGGTAAGTTCGTTGTCATTGTAGAAATATTTCCGTGATTTGGTTTTGACTAAATATTTATGTTACTAAGGTGTGATTTCTTCAATAAAATTTAACAGAGCGCATCGGCCCCATGGTCGCATAAATTATAACGATGTTTTTAAAAATATAAACTAGTTTTACACTCTAATCTTTATATACATAATTCTGCTGTACGTGTGTATGTCATTGAACTCCTCGTAAACGGCCTGACCGATTTAAATATTTTTTTCTGTATGCCTTTTTTTTACGGGGGGAAAATCATTCTGTATGCCTTTGAGTGGCGCCCTGGATGGTTTATATTCACAAATCAGCCCAGCAGATGGCGCTGCAGCCGAGTTTAGGTTATTTATCCTAAACAGCTGAACTGATATGAATGAATTTTTGTTTATACATACAAGTGGGAGCCTGAAAAATTAACATTCACAAATCAGCCCCGCAGATGGCGCTGCGGTTGGTATCTAGTTTATTTATCTATACTGCATCTAAACGACTGGACTGATTTGAATGACTTTTTTTGTTTGCGTTTGGGGTTACGCCCTAGATGGTTTAGATTCACAAATTAGCCCGGCAGATGGCGCTGCAGTACTGACTGCAGACACTGGTCTAGGTTATTCATCTAAACTAACAATAATAATTATTATTTTATTGGTCTTTCCTTTCATACATTTTTAATATCCTTATCGCTTGAAATATCATAATATGCAGGACAACATCTGTCGGTCCGCTAGTGTTTTTATATAAATGTGAAAATAAAATGTATTATCGTCATGCATTATATCCAACCTTGAATATTCACCTTTACTGTATGTCGTTATTTATTTTCAGCGATCAACTCGTATGGATACAAGAAGAAGTGATAGGCGCTGGTCGAGGGTAACGTGGATGATATTATGCAATGTGATATAATGAATACGCATATCGTGATAATGATACTTACACTTAGGATTATATGTACAAATCATGATTTAAGGCTTCAGCCAGCATTTTCGTATTTATAAGGTGTAGAAATAAAGTAAGGAAATGTAAATTTAATTTAAAATTGTAAAATTATTTTTTTTTTGGCTGAAATTATAAATTTTTATACATATATTATAATAATGCTTGTGCATTTTGCATATGAGATATAATATTGTATAGTTGGGTATTTGGACCAATCTCAATTGATTTTAAATACGTATTTATATGTAATTTTAATGTTTGTGTATTTATATATGTACGCTAATTCCTGCCTAAAAGTTTTTTATGGGTGAAGAATGAATTGTGGATATCCTGTCCACAGGTAAAAATATATTGCTGTACTAACTTACAACTTACGAAATGTATTATAACTAAAGCTAAAAGGAATACTGTAACGAAAAGGAAAAATTACAGGCTGTGATAAAAAATATTTCCAAAATTCTGTCTTTTATAATAACTATCGTGAGACATACTGAATTAACTAAAAAAACGAAATACTCACGTAAATATATTGAGAGAGTAGAAGCTCTACTGATTTCGAGTCACAGATGTAAATATTCTGTTAATTTTGTTCTTCTATAAAAATTATAAATAAATTGGTTGCAATAAATATAATACCAATTCTTTATACTTATGTTATGCCATACAAGCAGAAATAATCCATGACAAACACCATATTAGAAAGATAGTTAGCACATAAGTAGATAAATGTAACATTATCGTCTGTATAATGTGTATAAATAAAGGGTTATTTGTAATGTTGTGTATAAGTATGATGAACAATGATTTTATAAAATAACTGTAAACTTATATACCTTTAATATATACTTTCAAAAAAATATTTTGTTATACTGTATATTATGATTTTATAACCTATATAAATGTCAATAATGTCGACATATTTATTAATCTTATTGATAATCGAGTAAAAAATAAAACGATAATATTTTGTATTTAAAAAGTGGTTCCTTATTTAATAACACCAACCATATTGTACTTTATTTTCAATAATTATAAGAATAAAAAAGTCCTACTTAACTTTTGTTTATTTTATTTAGATCTATACTAATATCAGTTGTTATTTACCTTCATCATCATCATCATCAACAGCTTATAAATGCCCACTGCTGAGCAAAGCCTCTTCTCACACGGAGAAGGTTAGAGCATTAATCACCACGCTTGCTCAATGCGGGTTGGCGATTTCAAACTTATAATTAGAAATTATAAGTCCAGGTTTCTTCACGATGTTTTTCCTTCACCGTTTGTCAGTGGTGTCTAAATAATCTCAGAAAGTACATATAACTCGGAAAAAGTCACATTGGTACTTGCCGTTGGTAGGTTTCGAACCCGCACCCTCATGCATGAGAAGTGGGCGTCTTAAAACTCCGGGCCACCACGACATTCTTCTATTTACCTTACTATGCCTTATAACTAAAATGCAAAGAATTACATTTCTATACGTAACGCGAGTACTTAAATATTTGAGCGGATGAATTGTGTTTTGTACTGCATGACTGCACCGAACGTAGTTCTATATTTTATTGTTGTTTACATTCTGCACGTAGCCGTATGAATTCGCCACTGTAAAAGAAAAATTAGGTTAAATATCAGCTGTTAATCATTATATTCATCCGCTACCGAATAGCGTTCGATAGAAAATCAGGTAATTGAAAAGGAGTACTTGAAATTAAAATTGAGATGCTACTGTAAATATAAATCGGCTCATATAGTCACATCTGACATTTATTCACATTTATTGAAGAATAGCAAGAACATTTCACATTATGAAAATTCACAAAGGCATTTCCTGTGGTACTCATCCCACACCATGTTTATAATACCAGTGGTGGGCGAGCCATCACTGATTCTAAAACATTACATAATTCCCAAGAACCTGCAGTTACTTACACATAAAAAACTTTCACTCGACAATACGCTATAGTCACGCATCCATCGAGATTAAATAAAATACTCACATTTGTATTCTTCCTCATAGTGTCGCAGCATCTTCCACAGAACATCACCAGTGATCTCGGGGTCAGGTAGTAGACCTCCGTGCCTCTTTCTCAGTGCCTTGGGGTCTACATGTTCCATTAACGAGTTCATATTGTTTCCATGGAAATGAATACGGGAGCGAAGTTTTTCTCTCATGAAGGGCTTGAAGATTGCGAATAGCATGTTGAAGATGTACGGCTGGTTGATTATGTGGACTGCCTTTACGCGGATTGGTACTGATTCCTGTAATTAAGAAATGTACACTTTTAATAACTATGACAGTTATGAGGTAAGGATTGTTGACAAGATATAGGGAAGAATGGGACTTACATCTAGTAAAAATATAATTTTAAAAAGTAACAATTATCAGGTACTACATAAATATTTGATTTTATATTTACAACTTAAAATATTTACAACTAAACTAGTGATTAAAAAGTAAGTAAAAAAAGGGAACAACAAAAATTTGAAGAATTAGTTCTTCAATTTCTTCACATTTGGCGTTTGGTGGTAAATTGAACCAATATATTGCCAAATGCTAACCTATTACTACAAATGTTTACCAGCAGCATTCTTACATAAAAGGAGACTAAATTGAATGGCCTACAGAACTACTTTCCTAAATCTCTTAAATAATCTATAGAAACATGACCTAGAAAGAGAGTTTACTAGTCAAACAGGTAGTCTGCTAGCCCACTTCAAGTGTTGGCTTCGTTGCGCAATATAGCCACGGTCAACGGCCTCTGTTCGATCACGAATGTTCCAATATACCTAATAAAGTTTTGACCAACATCGTAACAACTTGCGAGAATTAATTGAACATATTATTGCGTTTCAGAACGCCGAACAAGAAGCGAGCGAGGCTATTCCTATTATACGTACTTACGTGTTTATAAAACACTACTGAGAACAAAGAATTCTATTTTAGATAATTCATGACACAGTTCCACTAAAATATTGCAAGGCCATGTAATGAATGTACTTAAACCAGATACATAATCAGATCAGTACCAAATCTAGTAATTTCCAACGAAAATTGCGAATGCGATTATACTGTTTGATTAGCTAAAAGTTTCACTTTACCAGTCATCACATCGGTTAATGAATGTTCATACGATGCTTGAAATAATTGACCCTAACAACTGCTAGTAATTGTTCTAATTGTCACTCCTCATTCAGATCATAACAACACTTTATCACTATTTCAAAACAAAGAGGATTATAAAAATTGTAAGTAACCGGATAAGTACTGATAAATTTGCAGGTGCCGATAGTGGAACTATTAGTTCGTGATAATTTCTAAACTTTGTACCACAAAACCTGATGAAAAGGTAACAAAAAATTTGTTTAATAAATTTACTGAACATTTGTATAATAGGTATACCTACTTTGATGGTCTTTTGAAGCTTCATTGGCATACAATAGAGCTGGCAAGATGCAAGATTACGCTATATTTCAACAGAAAAATATCTTAGTACTTATGTTGTATAATAACCTGAGCAGTTACTCATCCCCATTCAACTGCGGTTGGCGTGCTGCGGTTTTGATGTCCTAATGACAGTTCTAGTTTTATACACATATAACTACACAACTTTGTCCCTTGAGATAGGTAAAAACTACGTAGCACCACCTGGTTGGTCCTTATTCAATATTTCTTTAGGTTTCGTTAGTTCATGCAGATGGTCCTGTACCTAAGCACGCTGGTTAGTTTTTATATCGCACCTGAATCCAGTCTAAGACCATCTTGGCATAAGACGGCGTGAACTGCATGATGTGTTTGAATGCCAGGCCCTTCATGTCGAACACGCTGATGACTCCACAGATCTGAGTTGCTGGCTCAGCCATCGCTCCTTCAAGGCCCACTTGGATGCCCCGGAACACTTCTTTGAGGGATACTTCTTGTGGGTTCCATCTCTCTGAAATATTATAAAATATTTGAATAAGTTACTTTATTATGTTTGTTTTTTAGTCGCAAGGGCGTCGTTAGACTCAGCATAAGCCATGCTGAAGTGCTTCCACTTTCGTGGAGATTTGGGGACAATTCTCTATGTTTAACCAACTTTACAAAAAAGGTGTGTAGGTTACTGTTAATCACACTTCTAACCTATCAGTGGGTGGGTAACCTATAAGTACGTATGACTAATAATTATTATTTTTTGCTTTTTAGTTATTACCTGTTGCTTGCTTTTAGGTTTTGGTTTTCGAAATCGGTTTTTTTAAACGCAGTTTTTTTCTGAGTTAATTTTTTTATGACCAACTTGCACCCTACACCGCTACAGACTTTAACATACTTTTGCCCAAAATTTAGACTTTGGCGACCATTTATATCAGATACTTTCAAGCTACTAATAGTATTATAAAAGATAATAGATGCTTAGATATGTCATACATTTTTAAAATGGATTGCAAATAACTAAGTGCAAATTTTCCACGTACTTACAGTCAAAGATTTTGCTAACAATGCGACAATGTGTCATATTTCCGAACAATTCCTTGTTTAAATTACGACAAAAACTCATTGGACATGTACCAAAATTCAAAGGTTACTTTTTATTTACATTGCGTCTGTAATGTTTATGTGTAATACTTGTTATCTTACCTAACGTGTAAATAAATATTGTTTTGTTGAGTAAGTAGGTAGATATTCGTTATGTCATTACTTAATTAATAATAGAATAAACATTTGTTTTATTTATTGACATGTCATGGTTATATATATAAGCAAGCAGTAATTTTACTCTTACTTTTTTCCAGTAATTTATATAGGTAACCACCAATCCCCACCAATGTACCCATTAGGCAATTATTTATTTATGTCGGACTCCTCGGCATAAACAAAAGTAAATCAAAGAATTTTGATATTATTTAGGTACGATACCTACCTAACTATCTTGCCCATACTTAGCAATCTGCAAGTGGTCTCAAAATATGAATATACTAGCTATTTCCACGGGGTTTCACACGCTCTGCTCAGCTCTTATTGGTCGTAGCGTGATGTTTTATAGCGTATAGGCATCCTCGATAAATGCACTATCCAGCACAAAAAGAATTATTCAAATCAGACTTATAGTTACGGAGATTAGCGCGTTCAAACAAACAAATAAAAACAAACTCTTCCGCTTATTATAATAGTATAAGATAAGAAGTATAAGATAAGATAGGTACCTAAAGGTTCTGTCAATGAAACATTGCCATAAATATGGCCTTTGTAAATATTTTCGATCTCTTCACGCACTATTTCATCAATAGTATTAATTTCATGTGCACTGGCCGTTCTCTGTCCTACAATATCGACTAAAGTATCGTTACTTTAGAAATTAACAGCTTTGATTCGTCAAAAAATAAGAAGTATCCAGTGAACGTGATGAGTACTTTAATTGCAAAACTCTTTGTGTGATTATTGAACGTGATGCTAAACGCAACAACGATACAGGAGAGAACCAAGTATGAAATCACATTTAAAATAAATATTTTTAAGAATTTATATTTCTATAATATAAGTATAATATTGCTAACTATATAACAAAACACAACATCACGCCTTTTATCCCCGAAGGGGTAGGCAGAGGTGCATACAGAAGTAACATCCACTTTTCACTATTTATGTTATGAGTCCCATGTAATAGAGGGTGAGCTTATTGCCAAATACCAGCACATTTCTAGACTCCGTGCTAATACTGAGATTTTTTAAAAACCCAGTAATACTTTGCTCGACCCGGGAATCGAACCCAAGACCCCTTGCCCGGCAGTCGCACTTGCGACCAGTCGGCCAACAACGCAGTCTAACGAGCTAACTATATATTACATTTGAAATATTATATAGTATAGTAGTACATACATAAACGTACGTAAGTGTAATATATATACAATACTTTAAATGCAGACTTCACGGGACACTGCAGTATAATCACGATAGTTAAATTGTAGCCTAGGTTACTGACCTCCACATTCGACCAGCACGATGCGACGTCCATGTTGGTCCCGCGGCGCCAAAATTGATACAATTGAATGTTCAAATGGCGAACGAATGGCCGATGGTAACAAATCGTGGCAGTAATCAGCATGTGCTATCCGGAACTTGTAGTATGCTTGTATCTAGAACAAGAGACATATGTTTACGTACCACGAATCTTGTTCTAAATTAATGATATCTAGTTATCGCCAGTTTTGTTTTGAGTTGTCACACATTGGTCTAATTTCCTGTGTCTGGACGGCTAGACTCTTATTCAGATTTTTCTTATCGTACCAGCATCATACACTGGCAATAAATATACCCAACTTTATTTCTAGCTTCGAGCTGCAGAGTGCATATTTTTTTTAGAGACCTGCTGATGAGCAAAGCCTCTTCTCACACGGAGAAGGTTTGAGCATTAATCACCACGCTTGCTCAATGCGGGTTGGCGATTACAGACTTATAATTAGAAATTATAAGCCCAGGTTTCCTTACGATGTTTTCCTTCACCGTTTGTCAGTGGTGTCTAAATATTCTTAGAAAGTACATATAACTCGGAAAAAGTCACATTGGTACTTGCCGTTGGTAGGTTTTGAATCCGCACCCTCATGCATCAGAAGCGGGCCTCTTAAACCTCCGGGCCACCACGACGATGGAGACTTATCAATATGCTATAATTTCATGAATTTGTTAATTTATAAAGACATCTTAGAAACATATTGTTACGTTAATTTTGTATGCAACTCCAGTAAACCTATTTATGACCTTTTCAATACAATTATCACCCTGATGTCCATGAACTCATCGTACTCATCGTTCGACATCACAGTCACTTCGCAATTCAGTGTAAAGTGTTTTATACCTAAGTAGTGGTGGAAAATACACTTAAAGCACTCATAAATGCAACACATTTTAAACTAAAAGCTTGGGACTCGAGGTGGCGCTGGGACTCGAGGTGGCGCTCCACAAGTCCGAGGCCATGTGTTTTCATGGCCGCGGGAACGCGCCACCTCCGGGTGGGTCCCAAATAACGGCGGGAGGGGTTACCATCGGCGTCGAGACGGCGATGAAGTACCTAGGACTCGTCCTCGACAGTCGGTGGAACTTCATAGAGCATTTCCGACGTTTGGCTCCAAAGTTGGAGAGGACGGGGGCTGCGTTCAAACGCATCCTCCCCAACCTCGGGGGGCCAAACGCCTCCTGCCGGAGGTTATACGCCGGGGTCGTGCGGTCCATGGCCCTCTACGGCGCCCCTGTTTGGGCGCCGAACTTGTTGCGGCGTCCTGCTCGGACGCTGCTCAAGTCACAGAGGGTCATGGCGATCCGAATGATCCGCGGATACCGCACGATCGCTGGGGAGTCGGCGAACCTCCTTGCCGGATTACCGCCGTGGGATCTGGAGGCGAAGGTGCTCGCGCGCGTGTATAACATGCGCGCGGAGGCACGTCGCCGGGGCGAAACTCCGCTGCCGCGCCAGATAAGTGCGTGGCGGGATGAGCTCCGGCGCGATCTCATGGCGGAATGGCAGCAACGACTGTCGCAACCGAGGGCTGGGCTCGCTGCCATTGCAGCGGTAAGTCCCCTCTTTGAGGAGTGGCTTGAGAGACGCTACGGCGTCCTCACCTACCGCCTGACGCAGGTCCTCACCGGACATGGAAGTTTCGGGAGGTACCTGTGTCTGATGGGGCGGGAGGAAACGCCCGGGTGTCATCACTGCGAGGACCGCCCTGAGAACACGGTGGAACACACCGTAGCGGAATGCCCTGCGTGGGCTGAGCACCGCCGTGCCCTCAGGGAAGTGATCGGCGATGGCGACCTCTCGCGTCCGGGCCTAGTGCAGGCCATGATGCGGAGCGAGGGGGACTGGGATGCCGTCTCCTCCTTTTGCGAAGCAGTCATGCTAGCTAAGGAGGAGGCGGGACGCGTGAGGCAGCGAAGCGCTGCCTCCTCGCGACCCAGCCATCGCGAAGGACACACCGGGCGTCGGGGATCGCGGGACGATCTCCGGCCACCGTAAGCGCGGGCCTGCGGACGGCGAGCATGGGTGGCTCCCCGTCCGACCAGAAACAGACCCGAGCGTACGGCGCGTCGCGTTCCGCGCGCGCCTCAAAGAGCCATCAGACCACCACAGATGGGGCCCAATAGGGCCGATGCCGATTCGGAGTCGCGGAGAACCTAACGGGTAACCGGGGCTCCGGCTCGACGTGCAGGAGAAGGAACGGGGTGGTTTTTAGTCAGTAAGAGTCTGACACTCCCTTCCGCCTCACCCAGGCGGGAGCAGTCATTCGATGATTTTTCCCCCCTTAAAAAAATAAAAAAAAAAAAAAAAAAAAACTAAACGCTTGCAATTGTAAGTATAATTTAACACATTAGGAAATATCGTGACGGATCTATTCTTGGAAATATATTTTAATATACCTTCTATTCCATAAAGACATGGAGACTGACTACTTATTTATTATCATTTACTTATAGCGTCTTTAAACAACTATAAGCGTACCGATATTGGGTAAAAAGAACGTCCTTTTTTTAAGGGGGGAAAATCATCGAATGACTGCTTCCGCCTGGGTGAGGCGGGAAGGAGTGTCAGACTCTTACTGACTAAAAACCACCCCGTTCCTTCTCCTGCACGTCGAGCCGGAGCCCCGGTTACCCGTTAGGTTCTCCACTGTGTTTATTTTACAAATAGCCCGTCTTCGCAGACGAAGAGACAAATCTTAATAGGTACAAGGACGAACTATATAATGACTATTACATAGTACTTATAGGTTAATATAGAGGTATAACAGACTTACCTTCTTGAATGCACTTTCAGGATAGAATTTGCATGGTCTGAGGAATTTCAGGAGGTAGTCGTCTCTGTCTATGGGAACGTACAGCGATGGTTCCTCTGAAAAGGTAAATAATTTCATTATTTGTAAGTTTTAGCCTTTAGTGCCTACTATTAAAGTTAAGTCTAATTTGTTCATGAACAAAGGCGTTTGTTAAAAAAGGTTATATAGTTAATTAAATGAATTCATAAAAATTGTGCGTGATCTGTTGGCCGATGTTAACAAAACAATACACACTATGTGCACAATATACTTATTGCACTATTGATCTAGTTAAAAGTAGGTTTAAGCATGTACACAGCAAGAAGTACTTATTAACTTAGTATCAACTAAACGAAATACAAGTTTTGTAAGGGCAATATGAAAAATGCAAATGAAAATTTTTAAACTTTGCCCCACATTAAGATTTTTTCCTATGTTGTGGGTGCGACAAGACATAGGAGAAAATCATTGTGTATTGATTGGTGATTAGTGATTGGTGATTAGTGTCTTTGTGTATGTCAATGACACCCAGACCCGAAACAACAATTTGTGGATCACACAAAGTGAATCGAACGCGCGACACGTTGCACGGAGGAGTAAATTATTCATTTTTATCAAAATTCCTATTATTTATATATATATATATTTAAATCTGTACCTATAATTGCCATACATACATATAACTTATATACCGAAGTAAAAACAAAAGATATATCAAACATTCGAAATTAAACAAATTGTGCAAACGCAGCGTTGAGTAATTAGACAAGTACAATGAAAACAATGGTTGTATAACATGTTGTCTCTGCTGGTACTATGTACAAGTCATCGTATGTTATGTTAACAATACACATACAATATATGTTGTAAGTATCGTTTCCATGTATTTTTTTCTGTTATAGGTATTCTGTAGCTAAGGTAATCGTCGTGGTGGTATGTGGTAGAGTGTCGTAGCGAAAATATTTTTGTAATATATTTTAGACTTTGATTTATTGCCTATAAGTAATAAATTTCATTAAAACGGTTTAGAAAATTCAATAAACTTGACAATTTGAACGGAAACTAATCACACACAAACCCAATAATTTTGAAAACTTCAAAACTGAAAGCAGATAAAGATGAATGCCTTGGGGGACAAGGTATGGGCCACGGTAGCGGAGGATTTACCGTCGTCAAAGGCTTAATGATTTTATCATGTATGTATAAACGCAAACCATAAAAAGATAAACGAATAAGGCAACGACAAGATAAAACCAGAAACATTTGAATCTCAACAGTAATCAATGTTATCGTTTTATATTTACTGCAATTAATCATTACTTACTTTATTTATGTACCGTACAGATAATCATATTGACGAAACATTAATGAATAATTTAGCTCGATTGGGAGTAGGTATCTAACGTCTACAAAAGCAAGATTCAAAAAAAAAATCTTCAGGGAAAACCAAGAAGTCCATCAATTTTGGAATAATGGGGTACGTTAAAGTACAGAATTAATTACGTACACCTACTTTATTGGTATGTAGTACTTCACTATCAAAATATTTAATTTTAGTGAATGTTAAGGGATGTAGAAACTCTTGCTTATAAAAGGTAAAAACCGATTCATTGTTTAATTCCCAGTAATACAAGATCCGCGATATGTTAATAAATATGAGGTCTAAAAATCTCAGGTAATCACTTTATTACACACATTTCGGACAATCCATATTATTATTGCTTAACTTTTTATATGAATTCGTAAATTATAAATCGACGTATATGGAATCCACTATCCTACGTGTGATGACTTGCAAGTTGCAACAGACTAGAATTTACTTTGCCAATTTGCAGTTAGTATGAAGTTCAATTAACTAGTTTAAATATTACAGTTTCTTTGCCAAAATATTGTGCAATGTTACTACCACATATTTCTCATAAATAATTTAGGATGCGTAGGACTCGTTTGAAGCAATTTGGTTTTGGGTTTTTTAGCACTGCAAATAGGCACCTATTCCAGGTCCATATGTGTGCTCCGAAATAATTTTTAGTTTGAGATTAACTTTCTAACGCAACTACACCTTGGAATGAGCAACTATCTTCACTTCTAAATTGTTGTTGTTGACGTTAATTAATTGAAATAAATGACTTTGACTTTCCTTGAATTACATAACATAACATCACGTCGGCGCTTAATGCCACTGTACAATATATAACACCGACTTTTCACTATTTATGTTATGAGTCCCATGTAATATAATATGGCAATAGGCTCACCTATTGCCATATTATATCGGGCACATTTCCAGACTCCGTGCTACTACTGAGATTTTTGAAAACCCAGTAATATTTTACCCGATCCGGGAATCGAACCCGAGACCCCATGCCCGGCAGTCGCACTTGCGACCACTCGGCCAACGAGACAGTCCTTGGAATCCTTGATTTAAAAATATTCTGGTTGTGTACCAACAAAATAAATAATGAGTATAAGGTATTTACTATTGCCCAGCCATCGAAATTGTTGATACACGAACCACTCTACCACTTATGTCCGAAAAAAACAAAATTATAGACAAGCGTACGCCAATCAAACCAGATTCAAGTGGCCGTATCTATATATTACCATTACTCAGCAGTTTTTGTTACTATTTATAAAATAGGTGAAAAAGTGTACCCTTATGTGTATGTGTGTGTTTAGTGTATATAGGTATTTGTATGTACCCATATATTACCCAAGTACCTACACATAACAATAACAATACCGATCAGTGAAAAATTAAACTAAAATTGAATTGAGTAAGGTTAAAATTAGAATGATCGATTTATCAAGACTTGTATCTTAAAACGATTACACCAATCCTACACAATGTTATTTCGATGCCTATAAACATATTTCTGCCTCTACCTCGTTGGCCAAGTGGTCGCAAGTCCGACTGCTGGGCAAGGGGTCTCGAGTTCGATTCCCGGGTCGGGCCCGGTATAAGGCAATATGTTCACCCTCTATAACATGAGTCTCATAACATAAATAGTGTAAAGTTGGTGTTACATTGTACAGTGGCATTAAATGCCGTAATGTCCACCTCTGCCTACCCCATTGGGGATAAAAGGCGTGATGTTATGTTAGGTATTATGTAAAAACATATTCTAATCAGACATGTATTTAAAAAAACGACTAGCTTGCTATATTCATGGCCTGATATTTATGTAACTGCCTAAACTAGGATATTAAAATAATATTGATGATTAATATGACGAAACATGTTGATGAAATTGAGTAAAACTTAATCACGAGCCAATTTTAAAGATCCGGTAAAGAATAGAAACTGCAACTGTGTACCGATCCCATTTATTGAGACAATAGAAACAAATAGCTACCTATGCTTAAAACACTGTAAAGCGTTTTGGTTTTAGTAATGAATGTTACGCTGGATTGGACATGTAGAAAGGATGGACGAAAGTAGTGAAACGAAAAAAGTCTAAGTGTACTTCAAAGCGGATATGAATGGGACCATCAGTAGAGGGCGCCCTAGAAGGAAATAAAATGGCCAGATTGACGATATATTAAAGAAGGGCCAAATTAAAAGTACCCTTAACCAACGAGCATGCATGAAAAGATTGATGACTGTTGATGACTGTTGACTTGACTTGACTGTTGTTGATGAAGCGAAAGAGGTATGTAGGAATCGTAGCAATTGGCGTTCCATAGTCTCTGCCTGCCCCCATGGGAGACAGGCGTGAAGTTATGTATGGTAATAAAAGGTATGGAAGAAGTACTATAAGTATTTTACGGAATGAATGGACCGATGACGGAGTAACGGTCCTTAAGTATCAACCTACACATGTCCTTGTAAGCTCAAATGCCAAGAGTCTATGTAAGTTTTATTATTCTTATTATTCACCTACTCATCCCAATTATACCAATTATCATGTTAATGTCAATATTTTCCTATAAATAAATGATTTAATAATTCAACAAAACCTTTATATCTAATTTTAGAAAACGGTACCTTGACTCCAAGAGACATTGGTTGTTATTGTATTTATTTTGCCTAAATAACTTTGTTTCTGTTAAAAAATCTCATGAGAACCGCTATTTGGTTTAATGAATTTAGTAAATTGGCGATTAGGTGTTAAATATAGCAACATTTCTAACTTTCAGGTCTTGTAACGTGGAAATTACACTTTTTCTTATGACTCCCTATTGGAACCGAAAAATTGTTTAAATGATGTCAATAACTACTAAGAATGTGAAAGTTTCATGTTTTTCGACATTTAGTCACTCCCTGCATTTCGAAATCAGACTTGCAGGTATATTTTTTTGAGTTACCATAGTAGGTACTTACTTAAAGTTACTAAATATATGTAGGTATACATTTACTTAGTCATTAAAAACTCTCAGGCAGGTAGGTACCTGGTTGTATCTACCTACACAAGCATAACTAAAACGAGATTATATTTTGAAAATTCAGGGTCAAAAACTGTTTAAAATTCAAAAAACTCGGGACCAACAAAGGTTTCTTAACAAAACCAGTTTTTTCATTTGACAATAATAAACAAAATTTTATATGAGTTGCATTTTAACCCAAAAATAACACGTCTCTTCATCGAAACAAAATATTACACAAAATTAATCTTGAAGGTACGAATTTAAGTATTCTGCTGAAACTTAACCAAAAACACCTGACATTTTACAATTTTACGTACCTAACTACTTATAAGTATTTATCTTTAAATTATTTTGCTGTAAGTAAATTGTCAATTTCAATATTGTATACCACCGGAGCTCACAACTGGAGATCATTCGTTTTCATTTCAGCACAAACTTGCGCCCTATTTTATGAATCTAAGACGTAAGTAAAAAGTATGACTCTAAAATTCGTTAAAATTTAATTATCTGTGTTATTTTTGTAACTATAAAGTTTAAAATCATAGTCCCGAACGATACTTACTTACTGTATTTAGGTTACTAGGTATACCTCTATATTATCTACTTATACAACTCATTTATATTTACTTTATATCTTTTAATGAATTGCTCTCAGCCGTTTTGCTCTCATTCTGTATTTACACGAAGCCAGTTAAAAATTCATTCGCAAGATGTGAAAGGGAAAACGTTAAAATCTCATTTCGCTTACTTTCATTTTATGCGTGTAGCGTGCATTTTTATGTCGTTACAACTCTCATTTCTCTTGATGTGACTCATATTTTGTTATAGATATACGTATATATTCTCAAGAAGGAAGGTAGTGATATGCCATTCTAACCATTTATGACTGGATGCTTAAGTATCAATTCCTTTTATAATAAAGTCGATTCAAACTGTGCGATGTTACTACCTAAGTAAGCACGGAAAATTACGAAATACGAGTACCTACTTTAAATGCAATATGAGACAGAAATAAAAAGGACCTAGTGCTCGATAGTCAATATTGGAAATATACCTACAAGTATTAATTATAATTAATCATTAAAACAATTACTGTATCGTACGTTAGCCAATACGTTAATTATGAAGTCCAGAGATACACAAATCTGATACAGATAATTTCTTATCAATATATTATAATCATATCTTCGGATATAAGCACTTACACTACTGTATAATTTCCTAAAATAAATTACTTATTACCTTAAAAAAATCATGTAAAACAAAACAAACAAAGTGTGATATTACTAAATTGTCTCCGCAGGTAGCTACTGGTTTTATTCTAGTAAGTACTTACTTCTTAAAAGCTGTCGTAACTCTGCCAAAGCCTGCTCAACCACTTCCGGAGTTTCTCTCAATTCTTTCTTAGCCACTTCTTTACAGGCTTCGTCAACTGCCGGATCCAGTTCCAGCATTATCTTGTTACCGCCCCATGTCACAAATGGAGCCCCGTCAGAACCATACTCTACTTCCATTTTGATTTATATCACTTTGAAACTTGCTAACAACAAAAGAAGTCCTCTCAAATATTCGCTGACTGCACTTTAACTCTTTGCCTGCAGCAAACCCACGTCCAACTTAAAATACGTGTCGGTAGAGTGCTGTCAGTCAGCCGACACAGTTTATACGCGCGAGAGATTAAAATAATTAGATATCACAAAATTGGTATGAAGCGCGGACATTAAAAACACACGTTCTTTATAAGCGTTGTGTTCGCGTCTAAGTTCGCGTTTCGTTTGAGTAAGATAATAAAAGTTGTTTGATATTATAGTGATGTAAGCACGAGCGCGCACCGCGGAGTGTTGTGCTTATTCGAAAGGCCATCGGTAAGCCCATCTTAACGGTATCCCACCACCGTCATGGTGTCGGCGCCATTCACTTGCCTCTAAACAAAATAGACATTCTGAATCACTACAACGATTCAAGTTTGAAATTGTATGCTCTGCATACTAAGTTTGCAACATGGTTGGTATAATCCCCGGTCTTTTCCAGTGCCTAGAAACTTCCTTAAGTTTGTCGTAAGTTAGTTTTGTTTGCAAATAAAATACCTAACGTAACATTAACAATGTGTTAAGCATATTAACTGTTGCTATCTAAATAAGGAAGGGATGCACAATGCACAGCTAAGGTTAAATACATTTGCAGACAATTACAGAAATCATTAAATTAACTATTTAGGTTTTTCAAATGAGCAAACAACAGCAAATACATCATTTAGCTAGAGATTAGATAAGAAAAAATAGTAATTTTAAAGTGTTGCTAAAATTTATAGAAAAATAAATTACATACTACAGAGCTGAGAGCAATGCATTGAAATATCTAACTGATCATGGCGCCTATAAAATAATGATTGCTTAGTTGCCTTCATGATGAATGCTCAAATAAAAACAGCAGGAGACAGTATAATTTAAATGGTTTCCCTGTAATATTCATACAAATAAATTGAAAACTGTAGAACTGCCGCTACCCCTACTAAGTTAAACTACGGAGAACCTAACGGGTAATCGGGGCTCCGGCTCGACGTGCAGGAGAAGGAACGGGGTGGTTTTTAGTCAGTAAGGGTCTGACACTCCCTCCCGCCTCACCCAGGCGGGAGCAGTAATTCGATGATTTACCCCCTTAAAAAAACCCCTACTAGCTACCCCCTCGCTTTTATTGAACTTGGTTTGAATTTGAGTCTGCCATTATTGGTATTGCAACTCCAATTAGGTACAGACATAATTCGCTACAGGAAACTTCAAACGCTTGCAATATAATTAATAATCAAATTCAACCTACCGTCAGAAAATTACATGAAAGAAAATATTCTTAAAACCATCTGTGAACAGAGTCGTGGTGGCCCGTAGGTTTAAACGCCCGATTCTCATGCATGAGAGTGCTGGGTCAAGACCTACCAAATGCAAGTACCAATGTGTCTTTTTCCGAGTTATATATACTTTCCGAGATTATTTAGACACCACTGACAAACGGAAAATTAAAAAAAAACATCGTGACGAAACCTAAGCTTAATTATAAGGTTCTAATCATAAGTTTCAAATTGCCAACCCGCATTGAGCAAGCGTGTGAGAAGGGGCCTTTGGTCAGCAGTGGCCACTTTATAGGCTGTTGATGTTGTTGTTGCATCTGTGAACTCTTCAACTTAAAGTTCAACTCACCGCATCAATCTGGTTCTACTGACTGCAAGAGCTCTCCCCTAAATAGGCTGAGCGGCTGAGCGTCTTTCATCATAATGTGACGCAACGAAGACAACACATAAAGGAAACTAATGACTGTGTTACGTATACCATTGAACACATTTCACCTTAATCACATGTCAGATCATCTGCTCAGGTGGTTTATTATGACAGAGATTATAAAATAATATTACAATCTGTCGTGTTAGTTAGTTAAGTCATGCTCCAAGAAAATGCATACACTTTGTTGTTTGTGGCCTACAATAGCACTGTATCATTACCACCAGGTACAGCGTTTAAAGATACTATTTTAAGGAATAAACCTGTTATTCTATACTAACTTCACGTAAATTAAATTTTTACAAACACTTTTAAGTGTGGAAGAGCCATGCTTCGGCACGTATGGGTCGGTTCGGTTGGAGACCGACGTGAAGCAACGCTTGCGTTGTGTTTCGTCGTGTGAATGAGGTTGCCGGAGGCCGAATTACCCCTGTTCCCCAATCTCCTCAATCCCTGAATCCCCAACAATCTTCAAAACCCAATCCCCAAAAAGCCGGTAACACACTTGTAACGCCTCTACCGTTCCAGGTGACCATTGGTGACTCCGATTGCTTACCATCTAGTGTTCTGTCAGCTCGTTTACCGGCTTATCCCATAAAAAAATGGATCAGTCTGAAACTACCTTATTGAAAAACTTCTGCTTCTAATACTGTCTCAGTTCCCGTTGCCGAAGATGTTAAGTTAATGATAGACCTTCATACTAAGTAAAATAAAGTTGCAAAACAAAGAACAGTCCGTGACAAGTGCAACGGATGTTGGCTTCCGTGGAGTTTAATCTCATGGACCTTACATGTCAAAATTACATGAAAAGATGCCTTGTCGAGTAATTACTAATACTATGTAAGTACCAGTAATCATCATTGACAATGTAACAATAGGCTTCCTTTTTAAATAAAAACCGACCCATATATTATGTAGGTACTTGAACTTATCTCAATAAAGAACAGAGCTACAACACTATACATTAACTCATTGTGTGTATTACGTATAATTATATGTAGTTTCGGTTCCACATCTCAAGATGTTAGTAAATTACCACAGAGTCCATGCCGTACCATTTACGATATCCGTCGGAAAATGATATTTTCATAAATATCTAATTAAACTAACATAATATTTAGGTACTTATTTAAATTTTTATGACGGAAACAAAAATCGTAACTTAGAACTGCTAGGCTATTCTGTTACTGTCAATTCGAATTGTCAAAGTGAGCTCGATCGTATTCTCGCTTGTCATTCGTCAAGATTATTCTCACAACCAAAGACATGGCGGACCACAACCGAGTTCACTTCGTTTTTCTTGAATTGAAAATTACAGAATAGCCTAGTTGTAGCACTATGCTGTAGACCCAGGTTTCCAGGTGTTGGGATTAGGTAAGTGTAGCAGGCTTGAACTAATGAAAAAACAAACTTAAATTTCATAATCATTTATTTAAATTTAATATCTACACAAAATGCATAAATAGGTAATTTTATGCATTACGTTTCACACACACACACCATGTAAATATTGAGCAAATCAGGTATTTTTCATTTTTCCGTATAAGTACCTAGTAAAAATATTACAAATCTATAAAAAAAAACAATACAAAAATAGTTTGGAATGCGTCTATTAAAGGCACATTGGACACGTCTAGAGAATCCACGATGAAGTTACCTATAGACATACAGAAGTCATACCACAAGAAACTCCAGTAATCCTACTAAAGTTACACTTAAATTCTAGTAGCTCATTTATGATTAATATTTAGCAACACTTCTTAGAGGCTATACACAGAACCCTACAACCACTGAGGATACGTAATCATTGAAATATATTTGATAACGTTGCTTTGAACATAAAACAACGTTTGGACACATTCGCAGTCAAATTAAATGCGACAAAATGCTACTTGGTACATCAATGATTTCCTTTAAAATTGGCCATCAGTTTGCAAAAATTACATATCGCTCACAATTGTCAGAATTGAATAAATTATGGAAAATGTACTGTTTTAAATGTCTTGAGTAACTTAACGCTATAACATAGTATGAAACATACTATAATGGGTTATACTACATTTGGTGATAAAATGGTTCAGAACTGGCACCGTACGTCATCATAGTCACAGCCTTCTCGACATGCGAGTTGTGCACAATCAACGGGAACATGGTTCCTGTCCTACGTCTAAATAAATAAACACCGCCATGTCTACAAAGTGTTCGTACGTACATGTCATGAACTTCGCTCACATCCCCATGGAAATTTGAATATACAAATACATCCCTTACACATACAATGCAAACAATTATCCTAAAGTCACACGAACATTGCAGTCGTTGCACAGTCATGTAATTACCTAAAACCTGCCTAGATCAAACATACTAGCGATTAATTCCTCAACCGTAGCTATCTAGCCTGTGTCGTTCAGTAAACCTAAAACCTTAACATTTAAACTATTATATTACTTGTCAATATTTATCACATAATATTTTGTTACCCATTCACTCACACTCTTCAGTTTTGGAACTATGTTAAGCTACCATTCAATTTCTTCTTTGAATTCCTATATTTTATTTCTAATTTTGGTAATATCTATACCTAATAACATCGAACCCCAATTATGGGAAAGCTCAAGTTATGTTATACTAGTGGTGCTCGGGCACATGGCATTATTTAACAATTATCCTATCACCACTGTAAGCCAGAACTTAGAACAACGGCTATTCGAACACGTACTCCAGTTTAAGTCTTAAAAAAATCTAAAACTATGTTACATTGAGAATAGTATAAACTGCCAAACGTGATAAATGTAAAAGTGCATTTCGTAGGAGGAATGAATTACAGTGGGCTCAGAAAATTCTGAAGTCATAAATATCTTGTACTAAATAGCTGAAATTCATTCACATTGACGGAATGCAGTAAGCTACATGTAGTTGCCTACGAGCTCTTGGCGAACCCATAGGTGTTCCAGTTGTTGATGTGCGGCAAGACATCGTTGATGACAGGGTACCAGTCGGCGCCGGAGTAGTCGATGGCGGGCAGCTCACCACCGTAGTCAGACGGCAGGTGAGACGCCGCCATGTGCTTATGAAGTGATGACATCTTCGAGCCGTGGAAGAAAATCTGAAATTAAGGCATAAGCATAAATATTTGTTGGCAAAACATTGCATACGACCATTATTTAATAAAATTACTACATATTTATTATTATTTATTTAATAAGATAAACGAGTAGTAGTTCGTCTACTACCCACTAGATGGCGGTACAATGATATTTAGTAGTCACTAGCTTCTGCCCGCGACTTCGTACGCGCAATCCCGATATTTCCCGTTCCCGTTCTTGAATTTCGGTAAAAAGTAAAAAAAAAGAATTGGGTAAAAAGTATCCTATGTCCGACTCCTGGTTCTAAGCTACCTCCCCACCAATTTTCATCCAAATCGATTTAGCCATTCTTGAGTTATAAATAGTGTAACTAACACGACTTTCTTTTATATATATAGATTATTAGCAAGTATCAACAAGTATTCAAATAAAACAAGTCAAAATCTCAAAGTCCAAATTAGCTTGTGCTTGTTTACACTTCCAAAGGGTTCACTGGCAAGAATCACCATAAAAATTAGTCATTAATGTAAATTAATAAAAATGAATTATTGTAAGGTGTGCATAATTTCTGTATTTCGTTTTTAAATAACTTTAACTTTCATTGTATTTATGTAAATGAAATGGGTCAATAATCGTCCTTTTGTAAACATATTTTTAATGTTGTTTAAAACCAAGAAATCAAAGAAGTTTAAACATCGAGTAGAGATAGAGACTTCTTTAGCAAAATATTACAGGATCATATAAAAAATTAACCTTAAATTAGAGAATTTAATTAATTAAATTCAAAGGAAAAATATCATTATAAAAATATTCAACATCAATGAGCTACTTACTCTGTTCTTGAGCTTTTCCCTGATGAAGGGCTTGAACATGTTCCATACAACGTTGAAGACCATGGGCTGCTTCACGAAGTGCACCTCCTTCAGCCGAAGGGGCATAGCGTCCTGGATGAAGGTCAGGAGACGCTTGGAGAACGCTGGAGTAAGACCCATTGTCTGTTAACAAAGAAATGGGAAGATTAATATCTGCTTAATAGTGAAACAAGTGAATTCATTTCTGCAAATAGGCTACAAGGTAGCACTTTTACACGTCAATTTTATCAAGCGAACGATGAGATCGACATTTCCTAACTGACTACTCTGAGAAGAAATGCCGAAACAAACTCAGAGGTCCGTCTCTCTTAATAGAAATATCTTTATTAATCACAATACTAAAGTTGAGAAATCACGTTAAAGCAAACAGCATGAGATGACCTAGTTGGAGTGTAGATAGTGCAAAGCGACTAGTTAGTTATCCTGCTGTGGGAGAAATTCATGTCTAACAGAGGACGGTTAGGTGCGTGTGGATTATGACTGCAGTGACCCTATTACACCTATTTTTTGCATCGTCAATGACTTCATTCTATTCACTCTATATCCAAAGGATAATCGACATGAGTAATGAACCAACTGCGGTAGATCGTCGATAAGTGTCTTGTATGATGTGTCATCGGATCTTTAAACAGGATTCTGTTATAATATGTCTTATCACACTCATCCAGCTCTCTTTACATAATAACGTGAATTTTCTGGATACCAGCGGGATGATTAACACTTGACCTCCGCCCACCAGTATCACTTATAACCACCTCGACCACAAGAAATTATTCTTACCACGCTGTTTCAATGGTAATCGCTGCATAACGAGCCTATTGTATCTAAACATAAGACTCAATATCTTAATTGATGTTGCATCTACAACGCCTGATAAGCTGCTCTACTTAATATTTTCAACTTATTATGTCAACAAGTAAACGATAAGATGTGGAAGTTTTATAGACAATAAATTTTAGTGAGTAATTATAATTGGGTTGATTAGACGTCATTTGGCAAAGGTATTGGGTGAGTGACCGAATAGATTTGATAACCTACGCCCTGGCACTTGGCAAGAGTTGGCTACCATCAGTTCCGTGTTGGGGTGACGTCGGTCAGTGATCCGCGCAATCGCCACTCTATAAGACATTCTGTATGCGTCTATCGTTGCTTCGCCTCATGGTATTACCGGGTATGGGATCAGCTCTGAAACATTTATAGCTGTCAGAAGCCAAGTTTTCGCTTATGAAGATTAGGTTGTGTCAAAAACGTGTGACGTAATTAAGTAAAGTTCTTTAGAGTTAGAGCAACCGATACGGAGAATGTAACTACACCGAACAGTTTACGAACTTCGAACATAATATGTAAAGATGCAGATTCTGGCACTAATTGTCATAAAAATGTACATCTTAGTAGATATAATCAATCTAACGCATTAATTAGAAGTGATCTTAAATAGCCCCTTTGTAACTTGATTCCCTATTAACTCCTTGAAATTAGATGGACGTTGACCAAATAAATTTATATCAGGCATTATACAGGAAACATGACCTTCATTTGTTTTAATGAGTAGATACTAAAGTCTTTGCCACTGCCAGGATTAAATAACATGTAATCTAAACACCATCTTTATAAGAATTAATTAGGTAAAGCAAATAGTGATTAAACGACGGTATTTGATACCTAATATAAAAATAAAGACATAGTTATATGAACGTGTATTTTCATTTGTACCTGCTATATAATCTTTAAAAAATTACCTGGGTACCTGAGTTCATAAACAAAATTTGAATCATCAGTCATATTTAAAAAAAAGTGACACACAGGCGTTGGTAAAACCCGGAAACCTAATTTTAATACCTACCTAAGTATAGGCCGCACGTGAAATAACGATAAAGGGTAATAAATTACAAAATGTAATAAAAAATATTAATTACTTTATAGCCCCCTGTATATTTAAATTTATTATCTAGATATTGTATTAAATTAATCGTCGATTTTAAGGTTTATCAGTATTTCATAACAATGCTATCTTTTTATGTAAAGTATAGGGATCTTAAGATAATCTTTAATACTACAAGAATGTGTTATGCCATAAAGTTACATTCGTCATTTAGTATTAACGATTAATTAATCACAAGGCTTTACTAGTCACTTTTTATCTCACGATTGTAATATTAGGTATTGCCCTGATAGATATTCCAATAACAATATAAACTACTATGGCCATGTGGTTATTTAAAATGAGTAACAGTTTGTAGTTTACTCTGTTTCGATATAATAAGTAACTAACCCCGGGTGAATTGAAATTAATAATCCTGCAATATGTATGTAACATCATACCTGTTGAATGTCTGCACCAAATTCGGTAATTCTTTTTCGTGTTTGTCATAATTAAAGCAAGGTTTGTTTGAACTAAAAATTCTATGCATTCATCAGGAATATCGGGAAATAGCACCCGGGAGAATTCAATAAATAAGTCTATCAATACGGACTTAGATTTACATAATTACTTAGAATCCCAATAAATCACAATCCAGCTGCGGTTCACATAAACCACAAAGGTCGATATCAGGTTGAAGATCCAACAAGTGCAGCCACGGTATCAATATTCTGTGTTTATCTTATATGTTTACCAAAACGGCCATGTTGTATTTACCATCGTCCTTTACAAACGTTAAGGAAAATCCATTTCCTTCCATATCGACACAAAGGACGGATGTTTAATTAAAATATTAGTTTTGAGTTTAGCTATGAATGTTTACCTAGTCCTAAATGGTGTCTAGGATATGGCTAAGTACATATAAACTCAATATTCCAATGTTATGACGAATAGTCCATTGCTCTTTGGGAGTTAAAACAAAAACATTCCTTTTTATTCACAATAACAATTGTGAAAATCAATAACGTTAATAAATATATTTTTCGTATCAAAATAAAGTTAACATTTCGAACAAAGACGCTTTCAATGTTATTGTCGAATAATTAACTGAATTTCCACAAAAAAACGTGAATCATTATTAATTTATATTGTCACTTATGCATTGTTAATGATTGTTTAACATAATTAATTTGGAAAGTCATTATACTCATAATTATTTATAATAAGACCAATCCAGAAAACAGACTTTGTTAACAACTTATGGAACAACAGACTTTACTAAGCTTTATTTTCGAGTTTTCTATGGATCTAGGTCATATAAATCAATCAGTACAAAGATGTATTGAGATCTTGACTTCATGCGTGCTCTACAATCTGCAACTTGATCAGCAGCCTCGGACGTGAGGCCCCTTGAGATGAAACCCTGAACGAGTACGGTGAAGTACGTTTTTCCTGCGACCAATTTATTAATCAAAGATGACTAATTTCTTAACATTTCCATACAATTACATCCAGTAATCCACATTAGTTCCCTCAAATAACCTTAACGAATCACTCGCTATTGTTTGTACGACCGTCGTCTGTAACCACACGTGACATTTCCACTGTTATTATAACTAAACAACCTGAAAATACGCTTCAGTTTCAGTCATTGTTATATTTCATTAATCAAACAAACTTTTGCAACATTACACATTATAAGTAATACACGTTTTTCAGTGAAGGCCGAGACATACACAAGATATGCAAAATAGACGAGACTGAAGCTGCAATATATTAGAACTAATAACTTTATCAAGGATTAAAAACAGGACTTGAATTGAGGAACTACACAACAGACGATCCTACCTACGACCACGTACGCAAATATTAAGATAGATTAATTAAATTTCGCCATACATGGCTTAACAATAACAGTGTAAAGAACGCGGCAGTGGCGATTCACACGATTTTAATGATATCAATATGTTCTGAGTAGCATGACGCCGGCTACGTGACTAGGGAGCTAAGTACCTTAATCTCACAGCTCCTGGCCAGGACACCGAACAGCTTCGACCTTTCCGACTGATCGTGATCTGACTAGAAGGCATTCATCGTGTTTATTGATTAACATACTTCCTCACTTCGAGGTAATACTAAATGTTGACTATCTATGCCCTAAATGCAGAACCGGAAGGAAGATACCATTTATTTGTCAAGTGCAAACCGACCTTCTGATAATGGCCTTTAAGTTTAAGTTAAATTGGAAGGATTTCAATATTTGTTCACTTCATTACTAAAACACCGCCTTTTTGTACAGCAGAGTAGATATAACTATGTATGTAGATACCTATCTAGGTGAAAACTGTTTAAGGTGTTCAGATTGCAGAATCTTCCCCATATTTGACAACTGACAATCGTTATTTCAGCAGAACATCAAGAAAAATGTTTTACCTAAGCTAATAATTAATTAATTTGTATCATTACAACACTATGAATTCCGTTCAAAAATTTGCATTAGCATAGCAACGTTAATCCCCAGATAAGGAAGAAATCAATTTGATAATCCTTTAAAACGAAGCAAGTTTGTTAATCTATTACACAAAAGACAGATTAGTATACACATGTACAGGTAATTGATAAGATATACAAGTGATATCCAAGATCCTGTTCAATGTTTACAATTAGAACTATGTACAATCTAGAAGTACGTCGATGTCGTAACCTGTTGGCTATTACACGTTTTGTTTATATTCCAATATACATAATAATATATATGTAGACACATAATATTATTCTAGGTATATCAACGTATGAATACAAAGATAGCGACCATGAGAACGTTTTTCAATTATTTATTTAAATGACTCATTGATTGAACGCTGGGAAAACAAAGTATTATAAGGGTAGGTACCTATTTCAATTCCTAAATTCCCAAGCCTACTCTGATGAAAAAAGTATTATAATAGGGCGTGACCCTTTGGTATTTAATGGTTCATTACCTACAGGATGAATGACATAGTATCATACAGAGAAATAAATACAGGCACTGTAAATCCAGTCCAATAGTTGTTATTATTTACTTAAATCACCATAGATGTTGGTAGCAACATCAGCATCAAGCGTAGACAATTACACAACATGTGTCATCAAATCGAAACATTTAAAATCTGACTTTATGGTACTTGACTACTTGACTAATTTGTTAAACTGTTACCAGTCGAGAGCCATTCAAATAAAACGTAGGTGAGAAACTGATTGCAATAATAACGTGTTTATTGAAACATCAAATTCGCACCATTTGCCGCGATGCATGCAATATTATTAAAGTTCTAAGTGATGGCTCGACTTTGAGCCGGTGTTAATAAAACCACAAGAAAATATTTATAAGTGGAGAAGGTTGTTGTTAAGCCGAATAAATACTTTATATTAATATACCTTTATGTGGGTAGTATGAGGACTGCGTATTGGAAACAAAGATAAAAGGAACAATGCAGAGAACGGCGGCTCGCTAAGACATACTCCACACTTTTCTTTGTTCATAATATTCTGTACATGGACATTGTACTTTGAGCTAGGTACCTACACTTTGTTTTAGGGGTTGACTCATCCTCGCGGTGGACAAGACATCCACTTGTAGAAACAATAATATTTACACTCCGAGTGCAATGTCCGACGCCATGCAGATAATAAAATTAAATAAAAAACTCGTTTTCAATTTATCACAACTTTGTTTAAAGGAGTTGAATATAAATATGGATGTAGTTTGTTGTTATTCTGCTTACATGTTCATGGGTTTTAACAATATTTTGTAGCGAATGTGAATAAGTGTCTATAAAAAACTATGATCAATAAAAACCTAAACAAAATAACGTATAGTATATCACGACACCGAGCAACACTGTTTTGTCGCTGTCACTGCGTTGCGATACATTCAAATCAGCATGCGCACGCGCAGTGAAAGTGATCCGTCTACTTCCAACTCTGATATTGAGTATGGCTATTATCTCTACGTTCGAGTGTGTAACACCTATTCATTTAGTACACTATAAATAACGTTAAACGTTATCGATACGACAATCAAAAATATATTTTTGGTTCTTTGCCAAAAGAAAACAAAAGACTGTAACAATATAAACGATCGAAAAGTAATCGACTTACAAGTATCTAAAAATTAAAGTAGTGTTTGTGTAAAGGTAAGTAAAGCAAACCTAAAGCTAATGTAGTGGTTCTACGTTTCAGTAATGTAAACAATGCCCATTATATACAGTTGCACACTACACAACATAGACTGGAAACAGCGACCTACAATAATTTGTATCGGTAATGTCCTGAAGCCAAAGGACCGGCTGTGCCAAAACAATTGTGTAAACTACATTGAACTCTATAACAATAAGCACAAGAGTCACCTATATTTGTAAGAACTGCGCATTATACATACCAGAAACTAGTTTTAGCAAATATATCGTTGGATGATTATGACGACATGACAATTTTGTTGGCACAAATAACGAAATAAGTATTGTTTCGTCATGAAAAAGTCGACATTTCACGCTTGTACCCACGAAAGATGTGCGATAATTATGAGTATGGGTAACTATTTTAATTTGTTGCTTGCAATTATCACATCACTCAACTCTATGTACAACACTGCTTGAAATAACAACTGAATAAGTACATAGATATACGGCGTAATTGCGCCAACATTAGTAAATAAACAACGTATATTAAATTAGTCAATTATTTTACTTTTGAAACCTTTGTAAACTAATTAAAATTCATATAACACTACATAGAGTTTAATTGACTTCGTATATTGCTATTTTTGGCTTTCAAAATAAAGAATTTAAATGCAAATGTAGATTTAGAATTTGGTGTTTTGAAAAATTTTAACGTAACAAGTAATTCATTTCGTTACTGAGGGTCGTTATAACATGAATTTGTTAGTTGAAATATATATGGAATTTCACAATGAAATAATTATAACTCAGCATCAATAATTATGTCCAAAAAGGGCTATAATTTCTTCCTTAGAAGAAAATTCATAAACAAAGTTGCTGACCTGTGTCCACCCCATGTTGTGGAAGTCCATGATGACAACTGTTCCTCTAACTTGTGACTCTGGCTCCAACATGGCCGCCTCGTGGATCAAATAGAACAGCCTGAACAGCTGGTCAGCATTCACCTTCTTTGGGTCCCATGAACCTGATAAGAGAAAATCTTTCATTAGCTTTCTATAATTCAGGATAAGTCGAATTAGTATCTAAGTAATAATATGGACGATTCCAATAACAATTACGTATTTCCACACAGCTATTGTTAAAACATTATTTATATAAAGAAATCTGAGTTTTATGGCCGAAACAGTGTTAAGTATTCAGTATTTAAGTAGCTAATGATCATGGCTGCCTCTTGTGCTATATGTCAGCTGGAGAGAATGGGTTTTCGTAATGTTTTGTATGCGGGACACTAGAGTAACTGTCACTGTTTATGCATATTGCGTATACGCATCGAATACGAAATTACGTAGCTATCGCTTCAGAGCAATCCCATTATTTAACTGCTTTGCGGCTACTTTACTACATAACTGAATAGTGGGGCAAAAATGTAGCAAATGCTTATATAATATTTACAACAGCGACAAATTCCAGTTAGGATCAAATACCACCAATAATCTCAGAATCTAGGATACTATTCAAGGAAGAATAAGTATATACTCCTTTATTATTATCTAAACTACAATAAACAATCAAACTCAATACTGATAGTACGAACAGGAAAAGTTTGTACTTAATAAATTCTGCAAAGGCTTAGGTAACAATTATTTTTTTATGATTGCATAATTATTATCCTTATATATACCTACTTTATAATATTGTCTGCATTGTTTATGATACTTAAAACGATATCTCGGTATCGATTTCGGTATTCCCAGTTAGAAGTACTCCAATAGCATGCAATTTAGAATAGTGCTCGATGTGCTGCTGTACCCTAAGGCGTCAAATCAAATCGTCGAACAAAATGCGTTCTATTACCACAATACGTGTTTATTCTACGTACTATTGATTTCTATAATAGAGCCTCTTCATCTCAAAAATAGAAAGTGTTCTTATAGAAGTTATCGCTTACGTATTGTCTCGAGAACTGTGAGATATTGATCATTATGTATATGTACATACATACTTACATAGTATCTCTATTGTTGTTATGTAGGACAAAGACTCAATGAGAGTCAATCACGTCTTTTTAGTACTGTCGCTATCTACTATTTTGATCGATCGATATCTAGAAATTCTATATTTCCATCGAACACTGACAAATGTTTACATAGAATTCTTATTTACAATACGTTATCTTGTTTTTAAACAAATGTTGTTCAGATATGTAACGTCGCAATCACATATCGCATATTTTTGTGTAAATCTAAATATTTATTAAGGAAATTAGTATTGAAGTGCGTTCTAGTATAAGTAAGTGACCTCTGGACGACTAAGAACGAACATTACTCATTAGGTTCAAAGGTCTGATATGTTTGTTTGCATAATTTACTATGATTGGTAACAGTGGTCTACACTTGGGTGCAACGAAATGGAGCCACTAGCGTTTTTTTTTTTCATTTTGTCGAAACCCTCTATAACTTAAAAAAATTCTCTCATTTTAATGGTATTTAAAATTGCCTTTTATACGACATTCGTTATCAATTAATAAAATAATTGTATCACAACAAAATATTTATCAAAAAATTAATTCGCTTGTGGCTCCGATTTATTGCTCTCGAGTGTAGATTCTCCCAGAGTCAAAATAGCCCAATGTAGATCAATGTTGACTGGTTTATTAGCTACAAGTACGGCTGTCGCATAAAGTTCTTACCTCCAACACTGACAATTAGGACTCTTCTTCCCTTATGGTCGCGGCCCTTCAGGACGTTGACGACCTTATGGTCAAGGAAAGCGGTCTGCTCTTGTTCAGGCAGTAAGTTGTCCAGCAGTGACGCATTGTCGCGCTTGAACTCCGCGACACGACGCATCTGGAGACAAAAATAATTATTAGTATTACCAATTAACATATGAAACCTAGTTGATCATTAGGTCACTGTGCCGTTTATTTATGTTACGTACTTGAATACTTGGATAACAATTAATTGGTTACAATTTATTCATATACACGTGAGAACTGACATGTTTCTTTTTTGTTTTTTTAAAACGTTGCCCCACTCTAGGACTTTCTCCTGTGTCGTGGGTGCGTTTACAAATATACAAGTTCACATACTCAATGACACGCAGACCCGAAACAACAATTTGTGGATCACACAAAGTGTTGTTCCGTGCGGGAATCAAACCCGCGACACGTTGCACGTCAGCCGGTTGCCACCGTGCAGTCATGTAGGTGTACTTAGTTATGTTAATAAATAATAAACATTTACTAGTTTTCTTCAAAAATCTAACTGCTATGGCAGAGCTTTGCATGCAAGTGGGATTACAGAACCCGAAAAACCACCTTCGATACTAAAGGTACCTACATAATAATATAAGTAATTGTCATTAGAAAATACCGTCGTATATGCAAGCTTAGAGTTCCATAGTAAGATAAAATCTCTCAAGAACAGGAATCGAATCATTTATTAATCACAAGACACAATCAATTTAAAGCAAATAAAGTGTTAAGACCTAATGTACCTAATTACCTACTACAACAAAATCTAGATTAGAACTAGCATGAAAGAGACAAGTTCGCGAAGAAATCGAGTTCGTAGCAAGTTTTCCACGCATTTAATTTATGCGTAAGTTTATCTATGCACCGTGCTTCCCGGCGAGAAACTTTTGCTTAGAAGAGAAAATATATAATCATATAATTATGTAGAGCTAGGCGAGACATGTTCGTATAATTTGCCTGTCGGTCCGTCCGCAGCCTGGATCTACTTAGCTCGTTTGGTGCTGCCAGTATCGCGTGCTTAATGCCAGTTATAACTAAACTAAAATTATTTTATCAACCAACTTTAACAAGGAAGCGCTTATCCATTTTTTATTGTATGAATTATTATTATATTAAGCATAGAATACACATTAAGCATAGAATTCTTTTATTTTATAATTATCTTCACTAATATAATATTAGGTACATAGGACCTATATTAATTAATATGGAACTCTGTGGCAGTCGTCTCCATGTCATTATTATAAACAACTTGTTTTTATAAAATAATATATTTTTAATTTATAGCATTATACAAGAATTAAGCATACACAATGACATTAAAATATGAAGAAGTTGGTTAAATACAAAATATGTATCGACCATTTTGTTTGATTCATACAATCTAAGCTTATCATCATAATAATTGAATAAATACTTAGCTATATAATACAATCATCATGTATCATATCATTCGTGCAACACAATGGCACTCATTTCCCTAATAGTTTCAATAATACTAATGGTAATTGCCAACAATTGAATGATGAAAATTTGCAACTAGTAATTTATTGCCGGGAGTGGACAGAAAGACAGCAACTCTAAGTAAGTACAAAGTGAAGCGTATTATGTAAATCACGTAACAACTTGATGAATGGGAGTGTTCACACACGCGGCTCATACAAACTGCGCGTAATCAATAGTCTATTAATTTATTTGGCTCCGCGCACACAAAAATTGGTCGCTCGAAAGAATAAAATGCATGTGCGTCAATGTTCTTAGAATACCTACGTATTAGGTATCCTACATTGTCGATGTAGAAAATAACTGATATTAAGATAATATGGATAAGACACGCAAGTCTTGGTCATTTTTAGCGTTTGATTTAAACCCCAAATTGCTGCAATTTGAGAGCTGCAACTGTATGTTTATCCGACTTCACGGTCAACAATTTCTTGAAAAATGTTACTTAAATATTGCCTAATAGAATACTATCATTAGCTTTGCTATTTTGCTTTTTTACTGTCTAGAATTTCGGCATCGATATCAAATTTTGGAAGACATTTACGGAACAAGTTCTTGATACCCTGAGGAAGTGCTCAATGACAAAAGTCACAGTCGATGAGAGGGTTTTTTTAAGGGGAGAAAATCATCGAATGGCTGCTCCCGCCTGGGTGAGGCGGGAGGGAGTGTCAGACTCTTACTGACTAAAAACCACCCCGTTTCTTCTCCTGCACGTCGAGCCGGAGCCCCGGTTACCCGTTAGGTTCTCCGCGACAGAGGGTTAGCCTCAACAAACACTCTACCTCATCATATTAGGTGATGTTTACCAATAAGTACGTAAGCACAGTGATCGCCAAAAGCGTCAGTGTTGAGATTGATTACTTAAGCCAGCAAGTGACCGGTTAGCGACTGATTGCAGTTGCAACTCTCATAGTTGGCACGTATGGTAGCCATACCATCGCGGCATGGCCGTTGCCTAATCCCTCGGCTATTATATTTAATAACGTCTAATTGTGAACTAGTGCTCACACCTTATGCAATAAAACGATTTCTTTAATGAAAATATATATATAGGTGTATGACTGTATGTAGTTATATGTATGTAACCAGTAAACTTTCCGTTATCAGTCATCTCTATAAATGTCCTTTTTGGAACCTAATATAACACCAGAGGTCTGTTTATGAACTGATAAATGGTCATAATTAAATTACTGACGCATTTTTAAATTGAATATCCATTGATCTGAATAATATTGAACGAAATGTAATCAGTATTATAAATAACAAAGCGACGTCGCTGTGGCCATTCAACGGTCAACTGTTATCACAACAGATATTTCGATACCGTCTATATTGGCACCACACTAGTGTTATATTATAACCATATAAACTCATTGGCTGATTCTAAGTAGTAGTACAGAGTCTGGAATTGTGCCCGGTATATGGCAATAGGCTCACCCCCTATTACATGGGACTCATAACATAAATAGTGAAAAGTGGGTGTTACATTGTACGGTACCTCTTCGGGGATAAAAGGCGTGCTGTGATGTTATATTATAATCTCATTCTCTTTCTTTTCACCGAAGAGGTTTCATTCTACTTGCCTCGTCTTGGTCTCTTCTCGAACACCCGAATACTGAAAGGTTACTCAATTTAAAGTTGTACTTAAATATCATGCCATCTCTCTCATTTTACAAAGAACTTGTAGTGACAGAACTATATTTAAGCGCAACTTAGAATTAAGTGGCGTTTCAGTATTCGGGCATACATACATACAATATACATACATACATAACTTCACGCCTGTCACCCATGGGGGTAGGCAGAGACTATGGAACGCCAATTACTACGATTCCTACATAACTCTTTCGCTTCATTAACAGTCATCAATCTTTTCATGCATGCTCGTCGGTTAAGGGTATTTGGACATCAACCATATAAATCAATCAAATCACTTAGTTATGCCTTAGTTTTGATGTGCCTTTGCAAACCTACTACTGGTAGTAATAAAAGCTCCGACAAGAAAAGAAGAATTGTCCTTACTGAAAATATTCAATATACTGCCTAAAATACTAACTTTCCGACTACTTTACATGACTGTTTATTGCTACAATACTAACCTAACCTAAAACGTCTGTTGTCGGTAACTTAGTAATTTTGTCGGAGGTTCATTATCCTATTCGGAAGTTTAGTTTTGTTATTCGAAGATCCATTTTTATAGTCGGCCACAGATCGCTGGAGATTAATTTGTTTTTCGGAACCATTATTATTTTCCACCTACAACTGGGCCTACATACATACGTACACATATACATGTTTGTGTACACGATATGCCTAACGAATTAATTAAATATAAACAATTCAGTAAGACAGGGGCATTCGTTTCGTAATCAGCCTTTATCATCCAACTTGTACAATTATTTACATGCAAGGTCAATGGTTGCGTTTTAAAAATACCTTAGAACTAATTATAGCTTTGTACAATGTATGTTTTGAACAAAAAGGTGCATGGAATGATTAGTTCAAACATAAAGGAAACTTTGAACGAATTAATTAACTAAGTAGGTCTTATGCAAAACCTAAATTCAGGATAGAACGAGGTCAAAAAATAATTAAATCAAACGGAACTGTATAATCTAAAGTTCAGAAAGGTATAAAATATAACTTAAAATTCAATAACATAAACAAAAGAAGACTGCCTCGTTGGCCGATTGGTCGCAAGTACGAGGGGGTCTCGGGTTCGATTCCCGGGTCGGGCAAAATATTACTAGGTTTTTGAAAATCTCAGTAGTAGCACGGAGTCTGGAAATGTGCCCGGTATATGGTATAGCTATAGGCTCAGCCCCTATTACATGGGACTTATAACATAAATAGTGAAAAGTGGATGTTACATTCAATTACATTGTACAGTGGCATTAAGTGCCGTAATGTGCACCTCTGCCTACCCCTTCGGGGATAAAAAGGCGCGATGTTATGTTATGTTAAAGTTGATTAAAAATACTCTAAAAATAATATAATCAAAATAAGTTATGTGTGCTAATTTCTACGGCCACTATCAAAAGGCAAATAATCTTAATACAAGTAATGCAGACTAAGCTTATTGAAAGTTATGTAAAATAATGATATTATTGTACTTATTACCCTAGTGAAACAGATAAATATTAATTGTGTGTCTATCTATTGTGTAATACACTAAGTATCTATTATATCTTGTATACTATCTAGTTCGTAGTTATGAAAATAAGATAACATCTATGGAAAATAAACAGACTTAACTGTCTGAAACACATACCTAAATGTAATAATAGTTGTACCTATTTAATAAGATACATATGTTTTCAATAACAAAACATGAGGATTTTTAGATTTTTAGTCGTGCTTAACTGTTCTGTAACTACAAATTCTTAGTAAAATATCAGAGAAGGCAAGATAAGGACAACTTTATATTGAGGATCCTTTCAGTATTCGAGCGAAAGAATATTTATTTTTTCACAGTGAGCTATCAAGTAAGTAACTTAGAGTCGATTTTTCCAAATCCAGATTAATTTTAACTGATGAATAACCTCGATTATTTCACAATAATTCCACACTAACAACTGTCAAATGTCTATT